AAATGGTCTAACACACAGGCCCTCAGCAGATCCTCCAAGGACTGGATTGTCCTCTCTGACTGACCATCCGTCTGTGGATGATAAGCAGAACTCAGCTTCAGCTTCGTGCCTAGGGCCTGATGTAGACTCTGCCAAAATCGGGAAGTGAACCTTGGATCTCGGTCGGAGATAATACTAGAAGGCACCCCGTGCAACCGTACTATCTCCTTTACATACAACTAAGTCAGCTTCTCCAAGGACCACTTGATGTTGATAGGCAAGAAATGTGCACACTTGGTCAACCGATCAACAATTACCCAGATAGCATCACTATTCCTAGCTGACCTAGGCAGCCCAACAACAAAATCCATAGTGATACTATCCCACTTCCATTCCGGAATCTCTATCTATTGCATCAACCCACTCGACTTCTGATGTTCAACCTTTGCCTTCTGACAGGTCAGACAGGCCGCCACATACTCAGCGATCTCCCTCTTCATGCCAGACCACCAGAAATTCTTCCTGAGGTCTTGGTACATCTTAGTCATACCGGGTGTATGCTAAGTCTACTCTTGTGGCATTTTTCCAATACAGCTCTCCTCAGCTCAGCATCCTGAGGTAGGCAAATCCTGCATCTAAACCTCAAGATCCCATCTTCTCCCAGCTCAAGACCAGCAGCTTTCTCGGTACCCAGCAAACCAAGAAGTCTCACCAACTCCTCATCCTGCAACTGTTTGAGTCGATCCTGCCTCAAGAACTCATTAGTTATGGTAACTGCCCCACAACTAATGTGATCCTGTTATATTATATATGTGTTGGGGTAGTAAGGGTGTCACACAGTTTCAACTTCATTGCCTTTGGCAAAACGTAGTGTACTTAGGGGATTTCTCCCTGAATCTTTGTTGTATGTACTAGAGTGTAGTGGTCCAGTAGCTTTTGCTTGGGTATGTTATTGACTTAAAAACCTGATAGGGAAATTGCATATTTATACATGTTTATTTATTATCTTATGTTTTAATCCTCTAATAAACCATAACTACGGAAAAGGTGCATGCAAGCCTATATATAAGCACAAACACGGGCCATCAAAATCATAATGCTCATTCATTTTCATTTTGATTTCTTGGTGCATGCTTATATTCTCCATTAGAATGAATTATTCTGCTAAAGATTTTTTTGTTTAGTTTTGCTTCTAGTAAGAATACATTTATGCATTTTATACTTTGTTAAATTATGCTTTGTAAACAGGTACAGGGGCAACGAATATATATATATATATATATAACTAAAAATTATTAAATTGATCAACATTTGGTAACTAAAAGAAATATTATAATTGAAAAGAATATTGCACAATACTATAACTATATTGCTTTACATGAAAAAATTAACTAACACTTGCTAGGATTTTAATAAAGAGTCCCAAAAAATACTTTAAAAAAAATAAGTAATTGATTTATTATGATTCTATTTTTAATTTTAAAAAACTGGTACAAAAAAAGGTAATTGTACCTATAATAATGTCCAACCATTTAAGCTGTGTCGAAGATAGATAAAAATAAAAAAAAACAAAAGACACCGTAAAAATGTGTTTGTCCATTATATATAGAAGAAAAATTTGTCTCAGGTTTATATATATATATATATATATATATATATATGTGTGTGTGCACTACAAGAAAAGTACAAATTTTCGACGGAAAAATTTTAACGGATATGGATCCGTCGAAAAATTTATATTTTTCGATGAAAAATTTCCAACAGATTTATATTTCAGTTGGAAATTTTCGATAGAAATACAAATCCATTAGAAATTTCTTATTTTTAATTTTATTTTTAATTCTTATTTTTTATGTAATCATTTTTAACTACTTTTTATTTTTTTTTAAAAAAAAAGATAAATAATTATTTTAGGTGTCACCTACAATAATTACGTACTATTGTCGTATTGATATTTAACACCTCTAAATTTTTTTTTATTTTTTTAAAATAAATATTATTTATCTACCTTAAAATAATCAAACAAGTGAATTTATATTTTAGAGGGATGAAAATCAAAGAAAAATATTTTACTCATTTTACAAGTAGGAAACAATCTTTATAAATCTTACAAGGATGAAAAATAAAGAAAAAAATTTACAAAGAACAAAATCAAAATCACCCATCTTATAAGGACTAAAATATATTTAAACCTTCTAAAATTAATATTTTCGATCTTAACAATTATTTTAAATAATTATAAATTACTTAGAGATGTTAGTATATTGTCTTTAAAATTATAGTAAGCAAGTTCAAGTGTGAATATTTTTATATTTGTGTGTTTCATGAGTTTTCTATTAAATAATTAGTGCATATATTAGTTTATTTAACATAAATAGTAGTTTTATATTTTATTTGTAATATAAAATTATTATATATTATTATTATAGTACAAGTATGAGATTGTATATTTGAGGATGATTTAAATGAATTAATTTGTACAAGTTATACTGACAACATACATATACATTTCGGTAGCTTACTCATCAGAACTTCACAGCTAAGCGTGCTTGACCTGGAGTAGTACAGGGATGGGTGACCTTCTAGGAAGTTTTCTAGAAATTGCGTAAGTAAGGATAAGGCACGCTAAACAGTGAAACGTCGTGAAATAGAACCCTTGAGAGACCAAATATGAGAGTTGTTACATTAATAAATTTATTAAAATTAAAAAAATTTATAATTTCTGACGAATATTTCCGTCAGAAATTTTCGATGGAATTTTCCGACGGATTAAATTATTTTCGATGGATTTTTTTCCGACGCCACTTTTTCTTGTAGTGATGTGTGTGTGTGTGTTTGTGTGTGTGTTCATTAAAGGTAATTACAAAGAATCTAAAAACAAAAATGATTTTTTTAAAAAAAATGTAATTTACATTAGTTTTCCTGAGAACAGATGTAAATTTATGCATAATCTACATCGGTTCTCAGGAAAACCGATGTAGATTATGCATAAATCTACATTGGTTTTCCTGATAATCGATGTAAATTTGTGCATAATCTACATCGGTTTTAAAATCGATGTAAAAATGTATACATTTTCTAAGTTACTCTATTCTACATCGGCTTTAGAACCAATATAGATGAATTCGCAAAACCGTGAACCAGTATAAATTTTTGTATTCTTTATCTTCTTACCCTTATCTTTAAAGCATCTTACTAATATCTTGGTTAAAGATTTCAAAACATTTGTGAAATATGAAATTTTAATTGCAATACCAACACTGATCTTTATTCTTGTAATTGAAATTGATTAAAAAGAAAGTAATGTAAAATCAACCTTGATTATAAGTGATTGTTTCACTGCATTAACTTTGATATTCTGATATATTGGTAATAAATCTTGTAATCTATTGTTCTTTGTTAATACAACTTGAGTAAAGGTTAAAATTTAGATATCTTGATAGGTCTTTATCAAGAATTGGTCAGAAAGAGAGTCATCTTAGAAGAGAATCTATTCAACCCCCCTTCTAGATTCTTGTAAATTGGGACCAACATTATTATATCTAAAAAATTGATTATACAACTATTTATACAATACAATATTTTTTTATATTAATTTTCCTTCAAGGTATCATTTATTATATTTCAATCTTTCCTTAATTATAAATTTTATTTTTCAGTTTGTTGTCTAAATTAACATTTTCTCTCTCTATATATTACTCTAAAATATATTATACATTCCTGGCACATGATTGCAAGTAAAAAGCGGGTTTGGAAAGAGAATAGTAAAAGGGCTTTGCTTTCAACTTTGGCTTCAAAAAATTGCAAAGGGAGAGCTTCTCCATCCCCGGCCACCTTCCCTTTCTTTTCCTTCTTTCTTCCTTTCTTTCATATTTCCTTCTTTGGGTGTGAGACATGTCAAGCTGCAGCATCGATGTTGCTCCTGAGAAACTCTGCTACATCCCCTGCAGCTTTTGCCACATTGTTCTTGCGGTACCTTTGATTTGAGAACTTGTCTTCAAAATTTAGTGAGAAAAATCAGTTTTTCATCTCTTGCATGCTAATTAACTCTCCTTTGTTAAAAAAAAAAAAAAACTAGCTATTAATTAATGTTGTACTGTACATGACATACACAAACTTGGATGTTTCCTTTTTCATCCATGGAGAAAAGAAATCATTTAGATCATGAAAAAGGAAGCTATTCTTTGTGTACGTTTTTTTTTTTTTTTTTTATAAATTTTTTAATTTTATTTTGAATGCATATATGTATGATAAAATTCCAATTCTCTTTTTTTCTGGATTTCCTTGTTTTTCTCAGTCAGGTCTCTATCCCAGGACTTTCACTTTCCTCTTCTTTTGCAATCAAATTAAGAAAACATATACTGATGATCAAATCTTTGCATACACACTTTATTTTTCTCTTTCTCACCGATGGAGTGAAGAAAGGACCGTGTGGATATGACTATTTTTTGATCTCTTCATATATAAGATAGAAGTTTTTTCAGAAAATTTTCTGCTGAAAAAGAATTATTTATTTTCACTGGAGAAACTTTTCTGACAAACTCTTAAGATGTTTTGGTAAATATGCTTCAAAACATCTATATAGACATCATGCTAAGAGGACAAATCTTCTCTGAAGTTTAATTTTTCTATCTTTCCACCATCGAATTTGTTATACCTTTTCCTTATATTATGGGTTAAAAGTGATTTTTAGAATTTTTTTTGGTAGAAAATATTCTTTATTTTCAGTTGGAATTATATCCAAACAAATTTTCTATATTAAACTACATATACAGGTGCTTTCTTGATCAAAATGGACATAAATCTTTTAACAATATCCGTTTCAACCCTCGATTATTTGCAGCTTTCATTTTTAGGGTTTTATTTGTTTTTCCAGTACACCAGATCCGACCATCCTAAGCATGAAATGATTATGTGCTGTATTTACTCTCTTTCTTGTTATCTCATATATAATTTTATTTTTTAAATTAACTGCTTAAAACTTGTATATATAAACAGACATAGATAATATAATTTCCAATGTTTGATACAGTAGTATTTAATTTGTGCAGGTGAGTGTTCCATGCAGTAACCTGTGTGACATTGTGACCGTTCGATGCGGTCACTGCACCAACCTATGGTCTGTGAACATGGCCGCAGCGTTTCAGTCACTGTCATGGCAAGAAGTTCAGGTGTTACATATTTCGCACGCACACATATATTTTCAACGCTGTGTTGTGATGATTCATCTTTTATGTGGGAAGGTTTGGGTTTCATAAAAACTAACCAACATAAATAAATGCAACTAACTAATATTACTATATAGCCTCTTTGATTTCTGAGTCCTAGAGTTTCTGGTGAATTATGCTTTTTGAGCAAATCGAAGCCTCTCAGGGAGGGTCTCAAAGCATGTCTGTTATTTCTTCTGCCTGAAAAGTTGGTGGTTGATTCCTATCACAGTACCAAAACCCTAGCTATATCTGCAGCCGCCACAAACATAGACATGTTGCCTATGCCTAAACATAAGCGTATTTTCTTCATTTTTTCACTTTCACTGGAGGCGTCAGGGTGTATAGAGACAGAAAAGACATGCTCGTCTAACAAGAAAGAAAAAAAATTACTCATACTTATATATATATATATATATA